CGAGGGCCCTGCTCCTTGGAGCTTACAATCTAGGAGGGAGGGGATAGTGGTACAGGAGGAAAAGCTGTGGGGGGTGGAGTGGTAGAAAGAGTGGAGGAGATTGGCAATTAGCAGGGGGCGGGGTAGGCTTCCCTGAAGAGGTGGGTTTTCAGGGTGCACCTAAAAGAGGGGAGAGTAGGTGATAGTCTGATGGATTGGGGTAGGGAGTTCAAGAGGATGGGCGATGCCCTGGAGAAGTCCTGTAGGCGGGCATGGGAGGAGGAGACCAGGGAACTGGAGAGTAGGAGGTCTTGTAAGGAGCGAAGAATACGTGTTGGGTGGTATTTGGCTATCAGGTCGGTGATGTAATTTGAGGCAGTATTATGGACAGCTTTGTATGTCAGTGTAAGCATTTTGAATTTGATCCGTTGGGCAATCGGAGGCCAGTGGAGGGATTGGCAGAGGGGGGGGTGGCGGAAACGGAGCGGTTGGTAAGGTGGATGAGTCTGGCTGCCGTATTCAGGATCAACTGAAGCGGGGATAGTCTGCGGTGAGGGAGGCCAGTGAGGAGGGAATTGCAGTAATCGAGTCGTGATATGATGAGGGAGTGAATGAGTTGTTTAGTGGTTTCTGGGGTTAGAAATGGGCGTATTTTGGCAATGTTGTGGAAGTGGAGTCTGCATGAGTTTGTTAGCAATTGGACTTGGGGCAGGAAGGATAGATTGGAGTCAAGAATGACACCAAGTACTCTGGCTTGTGGGGTGGGCCTGATGGTGGCATTATTGGACGTGATGGAGAAGTCAGTGGGGGGGGGGGTGCACAGGCTGGGGGGAAAACTAGGGGCTCGGTTTTGGAGAGGTTCAGTTTAAGGAAGTGGAGCGACATCCAATCTGATATGTCGTTCAGCAGTCTAGTGATACGGGCGGAGACTGAGGGGGTGAGGCAAGGGGTAGAGAGATAGATTTGAGTGTCATCGGCATAGAGATGGTAGTTGAAGCCGTGAGAGTGTATCAGTTGGCCAAGGGAGGAGGTGTAGATGGAGAAGAGAAGGGGCCCGAGGACAGAGCCTTGACGGATCCCGACAGAGAGGGGGAGTGAGGGGGACGTGGTAGCATTATAGGTAACGCTAGAGAAATACCCAAAATACTCTTCTGCAGGCAGTAACCCATGATCAATCCAGTTTCAATAATGCTCTTTCTTCGATATGTGTACATTCACACTCACTGTGAAAGGTGTATAGGGTGCGATATATAGATTTTAAAGGGTTATGATTGTAAAAACATTTGAGGAAGATATTTTGAAGCACAATGAAGCTTTTTGAACAAAAGGTAAATGTCCATCTTCCTTTACAAAACTGAAAATATTAAGCCTATTCAGAATGGTGGGTGTAGTCATATAAATATTCAGCCTACCTCATTATGACCTGTCTGATTATACTTTCTCTGGATTTAGTTATTTGTTTTTAAAGTAAATGGGAAACTATGGTCGAGCCCCTTGGGATAGAAGGGTGAGGCTCAGTTCACACTAGTGCGGGTGGAAGCCATTGTGGGACCCATATTTCGCCCTGCAGCTGCAACCACCCACAAATAAAATGCAGGACCCGCGAACAGGTGCCATTAATCTTAATGGCAATCAGCCCCGCACTGGAAATCGCACCCACACTGGGAACCGCATGCTGTGTTTTCTGGAAAGAGGCAGGGACATTTTCCCTGCATTTTGCGAGGCATGGCAGCCCATTCAAATAAATGGGCTGCCATGCCATGGCCTGCAAAATGTTACTATTGTGAAGCGAGCCTAAACGTTTCTTAAATTGATACTGCTGATTGGTGTCCAGCAAAGCACTGCAAAGCATGTGTAAGCCGTGTACTGGGGTGGGCTCCCCAGGATACAGTGAAGTCGTCACGAACGAGGAAAGCAACCCCAACACCAGCTTTTCTCACAACAGAATTTTACTTAGATGTGGCAAATAAACAAAACCACAAATGCTGGAATATACAATAAATTTACATACACTCATCCCAAAGGCTGAGACCCTTGTGCTGCACAGCACGGCGCCTTCTGATGGATGAAGGTAGAAAGTGTAGTAATTTACCTACTGGCGGGCACAACTAAGCTGCCTCACCTTACCTGTTATTACCCTAAAAGAACAAGAATCAGTGTATGGTATGGTCTATCCTGCGGTGCAGCACAACAGCTTACAATCTTACACAAATCTACAGTATTCCCCCTCCCATAATTGGTCCTGTAGCACGTGTCTGAGTATTCCTTCTGAGCAAAATGCCAGTCTGGCTTGAGTTTGTAGGATTTTATCAGCTCTCCAATGTGAAATGTCACTTTAAGTTGTGGAGTTCTTCCAATGATCAGTAACAACACTTGTGGCCTGACACAAACAGAGACCCTAACTAACTAACTATAGGCCTGTCTCAGTCCTATAGGCACCAATACTGAAATGAGGTGCGTGCACGATCTTACCGACCCGGGTCTGCTTTGCATCCGCTGGTGACTCGGAACAGAACAAATGTCTCTCCACTAAGCATGCAATATCACAGTATATATATTGCTTAGTTCCTCAGCTTCCCATCAGCTTCCTGGAAGCAATCTTCCTTTCTTTGAACAGGGTTAGCGTCTTGAACACCATCAGCTTTACTCAACTGAATTTCTGATTACGGAGGGCTGTCCTCACATCTGGATGGCATTGGATTCTCAGATCACACAGCCCCCCTTCTCTCTCTCAAGCATGGCTGCTCTCCTCTCCTTTTCCTGTTCTCTCTCCAAGTGTAAAACCCCACCTCTTCATGAATATAGAAATCTCTATGCAGTCTGAGGCTGTGTTAGTAAAAACAGTGACATCTTGTGGCTAAACTGCAGAATGTCAGTCAGAACGTTTTTAATTTACTTCAATCAGTGTTCAAACAATGAAAGCTGTTTCCCCATCTCACACATGGCTAGGTATTAAAGACCCACTCTAGTTTGCTGAATTTCCTAGCACTCATCCCTGCTATTCAACACAAAAGGACCTACTTTAAAACAAAACAGAGGATTCTGCTGCATACAGTTGAAGAGATATGTGAAAGCCACAATCCTTATCAATAGTGCAGAAACCTGTAATTCTCTGTGCTTAGACTGGAATGTGAAGGGTCCACAGTCTGAGACAATTAAAGGCTATGTAAACCCAACATTTCACATAACTCATATTTGCCTGCTGTACTATGTACTTGTAAGAGAAAGTATCCTGTTTATTTATATTGCTTTCTTTGTGTGAAATACATGATGTTCCAGTCACTCTGCTTTCCCATTAAAAACTGACTACACTAGGCAGAAGAGCACAGCTTGGTCGATGTTCTGGCTTTGCTCGGAACTCAGCTTGCTCTTCCCCAGTGATCAGTCATCTCTGCTTACACTCCCCTCCCCCCATCCTCTGCACAGCTATTCACTGGGAAAATCAGCATAGTGCAGTTTCTCCTCCCCCCAGCTCCTTATTCAGATGAGAAGAGAGGGAATGTGATCACCTATAAAAAAGGGGAAAAAAAGTATTTAAAATTATTTTTATATGTATACAAAAATGTTTTGCCTTTCATTTCTATTTTAAACTGATTGCGTTGTTTTACAAGGTGAGCATTTACATTAAACAATTTAAGTTCTCTTGCTTTGAGCAATGGTGTCCAACTATCACGTAAGTGAAGTAAATAGCATTGGAATTACCTTATCATTGTAAAGAACCAGAAAATTTGAATACTCCTGCGCTTAGGGAGTGGGCCCAAAAGGGTTAGTTATGTCTTGGCTCTCATGAAATACACTCATCTTGCTGCCCTCACAAGACTGGGGAAGTCTAGAGGCACTGCAATAACACTAGTCTCGAGGCACTGCAATTAGGTCCATATATATTTGGACACAGGCACAATTTTAGTTTTTTTTCAGGTATTTACCAAAACATATTCAAGCTATAGTTATATAATGGATATGGGCTGCAAGTGCAAACTCTCTTAATTTGAGGGTATGTACATCCAAATTTGAGGAAGGGTGTAGGAATTGTAGAGTAGCCACCCCCCCTTTTTCAAGGGACCAAACGTAATTGGACAATTGAATCAAAAGCTGTTTCATGGCTGGCTGTGGGATACTCTTTTGTTATTTCTTCATCAATTAAGCAGGTAAAAGGTCTGGAGTTGATTCTAAGTGTGGTATTTGTAGTTGGAATCTATTGCTGTGAAGCTACATCATGAGTTCAAAGGATCTGTCCATGCAAGGGAAACAGGCCATCGTAAGGCTTCAAAAATGTAACAAATCCATCAGAAAGATAGCAGCAACATTTGTAGTGGCCTAATAAACAGTTTGGTACATTCTGAGGAAAGAAGTATGCACTGGTGAGCTCAGCAACATAAAAAGGCATGGACATCCATGGAAAACAACAGTGGTGGATGATTGCAGGATCCTCTCTATGGTAAAGAAAAACTCATTCACAACATCCAGACAAGTCAAGGACACTCTTCAGGAGGTGGGCATATCATTGTCAAAATCTACAATCTACAATCAAGGGAAGACTTCATGAGAGCAAATACAGAGGGTTCACCACAAGATGCAAACCATTCATAAGCCGGAAGAATATAAAAGCCAGATTAGACTTTGCAAAAAAAATCTAAAAAAAGCCAGACCAGTTCTGGAAAAGCATTCTTTGGATGGATGAAACTAAGATTAATCTGTACCAGAATGGAGGGAAGAAAACAGTGTGAAGAAGGCTTGGAACAGCTCATGATCCAAAGCACACAATGTCATCTTTAAAACATGGTGGAGGCAATGTGATTGCATGGGCATGCATGGCTTCCAGTGGCACTGGGTCATTGGTGTTTATTGATGATGTGACAGAAGACAGAATATATATATATATATATATATATATATATATATATATATATACTGTATACACACTATATTGGAAAACGTATTGGGATACCCCTCCAAATCATTGGATTTGGTTGTTCCAATCACCTCCATGGCCACAGGCGTATAAAATCAAGCACCTAGGCATGAAGATTGCTTCTACAAACATTTGTGAAAGAATGAGTTGCTCTCAGGAGCTCAGTGAATTCAAGCGTGGTACTGTGATAGATTACCACCTGTGCAATAAGTCCATCCATGAAATTTCCTTGCTACTAAATATTCCACAGTCAACTGTTAGTGGTATTATAACAAAGTGGAAGCAACTGGAAAGAACAGCAACTCAGCCATGGAGTGGTAGGCCACGTAAAATAACAGAGCAGAGTCACACACAGTGCACAGAAGTTGCCAACTGTCTGCAGAAGTCACCAAATGGCCACAGGTATATAAAATCAGGAGCTAGGCATAAAGACTGCAAACATTTGTGAAAGAATGGGTCGCTCTTAGGAGCTCAGTAAATTCAAGCATGGTACTGTGATAGATTGCCACCTGTGCAAGAAGTCCATCTGTGAAATTTCCTTGCTAGTAAATATTCCACAGTCAACTGTTAGTGGCATTATAAAGTGGAAGTAACTGGGAATAACAGCAACTCAGCCACCAAGTGGTAGGCCACGTAAAATGACAGAACGGGGTCAGCTATAGCGCACAGAAGTCACCAACTGTCTGCAGAGTCAATAGCTAAAGACCTCCATAAAAACTTTGTGTGGCCTTCAGATAAGCACAACTGTGCATAGAGAGCTTCATGAAATGGGTTTCCATGGCCAAGCAACTGCATCCAAACCTTACATAACCAAGTGCAATGCAAAGCGTTGAATGCAGTGGTGGTGTAAAGCATGCCAAAACTAGACTCTAAAGCAGTGGAGATGTGTTCTCTGGAGTGAAGAATCACACTTCTCTGTCTGGCAATCCGATGGACATGTCTGGTTTACTGGTTGCCAGGAGAACAGTAACTTTAACTCCCTTCAATGGTGCAGTTCTGTACCTTCACCAGTGGACACTACTGTGCCTGCATGGATTGGGTGCTATTGAACCTGCATGGCCTGATGTGGGTTCTATGCATGTGCCACCTTGTCCCTGTGAAGTTGCTGCATTTGTGCACCCTGCTTCATCTTCTTTGGAATTGGAATGCTGAACAAGCTATATGTCCTAGTTCTCCTATCTGAGGGCACATTGTAGCAGTTTACACTAGCAGATCCTGGCCTTATTACTTATAAATTTGAATGCATACCCCTACTTATTCACAAATAAAAGTTAAAAGTAAATAAACACAGTCCTTTATTTAAAAAAAAAAAAAGTCCCACACTGTAAATGCATTGTTAATTATGTCAACCAGCGATGTAGATCCATATCAATCACCATGCCTGATGCCTGCTGAAAGAAAAAAATCTAATGGCCCTAATGCAAAGAAAGACACTCTCTGAATGACCGCTCCCTGAGGGACAGTATTGCCTAAATATAGCTATGGTCATTCTTATTCAATGATATTGTCCAATTATGACAATGTGTCCATATTTAGAGAATGAGGTCATCCCCTATCACACTCCTTTTGCTTATGTGGTCAGGAATTCATTTCCATGCAGCTGAATGGGTGGCAGATGCAGGCATCCACTTCTTCCTTAATAACCATTAAAAGCAGAAAGCTCTCATGCTTATCCACACTGAACACACCAAACAGCATCTGGGTGAAGGTCTGAACCTATATTTGGACCAAACACTCAGCTCATCCTTAATCAAGAGGATACACCTACTTCAGACATTTCTCCTAATCTGAAAGAGACCTTCCCCGTCCATGCATTGGTTGATCCAGTACTGTATAGTGATTGACCTCACGCCTCATTCACAGAAGATTTTTGCTTTTCAACCAGTAATATCCTATCAGGGAATATATCCTTATTCCGTAATCCTACATTGGCAACTCCTGTGGTGGATCCAGTCAGTTCTTATATTACCAAATCCTCAAAACCCCATGGAGGATAATCACATGCTGAAAGACCCAGTAGAAAAAGGTTAGAGGCCCTCTTTAAAGCTGGTTTTGCCATGGCAGTCTGTCAGCCCATTACTGTCTGGATTAGGCATGTGGCCCTAAATTCCAGTTCCATTGGTACACATCCTTCTGTCCATAGTCAACTGGACCTTTTCTTTTTTCTCTACTGTATAAATGGTAAACTCTGTGAGCAAGCCCTTTGAAAGTGAAGTGTTTGTGCCCACCTTGGAGAGATATATCAAGGAGATTATGAGGGGTGACACTATTCTCCTCTTTCAGAAGAAAAAGAATTGTGTTTTTACCAGCATGTCTTCTGAGGTTAGGATGGGTTCCTTTTGTCACTCTCAGTCTTTCACTACTAAGTCTAAGAAAAGAACTAACTTTTGTAAGAAGACATGGCCTTCCAAACCAGCCAGGGCTTCTTCACAGTAACGGAGTGCCTTCTATCCTCAAAGTGGGGGGAAATCTGTCAACTTTCTTAGTGTGGTCCCAGATAATCTCAGGAGCTACAATTTGGTGTTTTGTATTATGTCTCCTCCCTACTTCATGTTGTCCAACTTGTCTCCTTCCCCATGTTGATGGGTGTATCTGCTTGCCGCAGTTCAATGGCTCTTGGATCAAGGAATTATTAGCCTTACACCAACATGAGAACACTTTGAAAGTTTCTACCCCAACCATTTATTGGTTCCCAATCCTAATGGAGGAGTTTAGCCCATTCTGGAAAACGTTCAACTTATGTCTACAGGTTTAGAGGTTTACATTAAAATTGCCAGATCAGTCAGTTCCTCCCTCTTTCAGAGGTATTTCTGGCTTCACTAGACATCTAGGATGCCTAGTTACACATTTCTATTTTTCTGCCTCATCAATGCTATCTGCATTTTATAAGATCATCATTACCAATTTTTTACCCTTCTCTTCTATCTGTCCACAGACCCCCCCCCCCCCCCCCCAAGGTTTTCACCAAGGTGATTGCCCTAGTTCTGTCTCTGCTGTTTTCAAAGGATCTTCTGTTAAAGGATTATGTCAGGAATTCTGATATGACCAGAGATGTGTGGACTGACAAAGGAAATATCAGGCTTCAGGAGTGATGTAAAATAATATAATTTATTTGTAAGACACACCAATATATAAACGCACAGTGCAAAGCAAAATCCAAATAACACAAACACCCACAAAATATATACACGTGCAGAGTCATATCGTAGTCAAGGCTAGCCGGGGTAATACACTGGAGATCAAGCATGGGGCGCTGGGAGCCAGACAGGACAAGGAGTGGATCACAGGAACAGAGAGAGCAGGTGGGAAGGAAACAAGCTGAAACAAAGGGATAAGGAATAGAGATAAGGAGCTAGGTCCAGAAGTAGGTAACAGAAGCAGGAAGCAAATTCAGGTACACAGGATAACTGAAATACGGATGTCACAGGCGCATGGGAACAAAACACCAAGGCCCTGATTACAAGCATGATTGCTGTTTAAATACACCTCCTGAAATCAGTCTCAGGTGATGGCTTGATTGCAGGAGGTGAGATCCTGGCTGCTGAAAGGCACTCATGGTAAACCCCAGTACTGCTTCCCATAGAGCAGGTGAGCCACAGCACCACCAGCGTGAGGGGCAGTGCAGACTGTGTGCTGTGAGAGGTCCTGCTAGGCGTCAAACAAAACCGGAGTCTAAATTTTGACTCTACCTGGAAAAGGATGGTGGAGCCCGTCCATGATCCGGGTGAAGGAGGAACTTCTGGGGCTCTTAGTACCAGTCCTAGCCCACCAGTTATAGAGGATCTGGGAAAAGGCCCTAAAAGGAACGAATCTTATGCGTCCTATCGGGGCCGCATCACGGCCCACGTGGCTAAGATCGGGAAGGAGGAAGAAAAGCTTGTGAAGATGAGGAATGACTTGCGGAAGTTTAAGTCTTCCTATGATCATGTGTGGAGCATGAAACGCCAGTCTATGAGACCGGAAAACGAGGGCATGGTGCAGGCAGTGCGCCATCAAGGTGAGTTGGTGGAAGCCCTGAAAGCATCCAGCAGGTTCATGCGGGAAAAGTTTCTCAAAGAGGAGCAATTTAAACAAGCTCGTGACAAATCATTAGCGGCCATGAGGGGCCAGGTCCGGGCACCTGTCGGACCCCTTGGGTGAGGTCGGGGAAGTGATTGTTACATCCCAGTAAGAAGGAAAATGTATGTCGGCGGAGGGTGAGTTGGAGCTCATCCCTCCTCAGCAGCAGCGGTCTGATTGGGGATCTCGTGTGGAGCAGGAGGAGGTGGCTGGTGCCATGGAGTTCGTGACAGCGCTGGAGTCCCCGCTGCACGGACGTCAGTTTGCATTCTCATCTGATGAGACCGGCAATGAGGCGGACAAGTGTCCGGGACCTTTAAAGCCAAAGAAGATGGTGAAATATGTCTTTGTGAGGCTGGAGAAACTTCTCAGCAATCTAGAGAACTTTTGCAAATTGCAGGTACTGGAGGGGAAAGCAGTACAGCCGCAGTCAGATGTCTCCCCCACTACAGGGACTGTAAGTATCGTTGCGGACACTGTTTTGGTTGACTGTGATATGTCAGCAGCAAATGCTAATGCAAATGTGAATGATATTGTTTCTCTAGGTGAAGCCATTCTGGTTGATGTAGTGCCTGATGTAACCGACACAACCCCAGTCTCAGTTCCAACCCCAGTCTCAGCTCCAGCCCCTGTTGGGGGTGTCCTGAGTTATTCAGAGGCTTTGAGAAATAGGCAGGGGGTAGTAAGGCCAGCCGAGCCACCCGGGCAGGGGGTTCACCAACAACCATTAAGAGAAGGAATGCTGTTCAGCTAAAATGGGAAGGAGGGAGCCCCCCACCTAATAGAAGGGAGGTTGTCGATAGGATCCTAGCTATGGGCTTTAAAGCGGTTGACATTTTTGCCTTTATAGCCCTGGTGTTGGACTGGGGAATACGATGTATCATTTGTGAAACCAGAGTGTTTAGATTTGTTTTGGCAGAGATATGAGAACGAGTGGAAAGGGACCCCTAGGTGGAAGGGCCTAACCCCAAAAGTCGTGTCAAGGCAGCCCCTTATCAAAGCCGTTACGATTCTTGTCAGGAATGAATCGATCCCCCAGGCGGATATTGTAGTATGGCTAAAATGATTTGGGGAGGTATTGGGCACACTTAGAAAGATCCTGGACGATCGCAGGATCTGGACCGGGGGATGGTCGGCGACCATAAGGCTACAGTTGAGCATAATATGGTAAAGCATCTCCCCTCTTCAACCTTCCTTGGGAAGGACAGATTAATTGTGCTCTATGCTGGGCAGCTGAACGTCTGCCCCTGTTGTGGCAATAAGGGGTACTTCGCCTCAAGCTGTGAGGTTTTGAAGTGTTCATTGTGTCAGGGAATCGAGCATGTGGCCCAAGATTGCAACCAAATAAGGTGCAACCTCTGTCAGTTATTAGGGCATTCTTACAATCAATGCCCTGAAGCACTCCATAATTTAACTGGCATTGCTGAGGAATTGGCTAGGATGGATGAAGAGGAGGCGGGTGAGGTCCCAGCTCCTGAAATGTCAACTGCTCCAGGTGCCCAGGTGCTTGGTGCACCTCCTAGTGTGCCTGTGTCTTCCCCTGTCTCTGTGCCCCCCCAGGTGTTGTCTGCCCCTCCTCATGTGTCTCCCCCTGTTAGTTCCAAGTTGGTTGAAGCAGCAAAGGGGGCAGGGGTACGTAAATCCTCTGTGGTCCCTCCGCCAGGTTTTACTGTCACTGCGCTGTAAGGGCCATACAGGAGACCTTGTGGCATCTAAGGGTCAGGTGGAGGTTGGGCAGGAGAGC